TATTATATTTATATTTATGTAAAGATCTTTAACTGTATATTTATATCTTAGCTATAAAAATGAGCGACTCGGATATTTTTTAACTCACCATGTAAAATTGGGTCAAATAGGTTAATTGCTCTTGTATATGATTTATTTATCACCCGTCTTGTTCTTCTGCTACTCTCAGTATTCTGTGTGTGCACGTTTGAGGTTGTGGGCCATAATTTGCTTTGCACCTTGGGATAGATAGGCAGAGAAGAGGCTCAATAGTGTCCTCCTCTCTGCCTTTTTGTTGGAAGCATTTTGTGATGTTGATGGTGCATGCTGTCAGTAGAGTCCATGTCTCTTTGGCGTCTGTTACTTTAAGTCCTGCCAGGACCAGCCATTATCTGTTACTTTTGTCAGGGCCGGCATCTGTTAGTGTTACTTTTGTTTGTTACTTTTTTTCTTTTGCTTATGCCTTTTATTTTTGTCTGTTGCTTTTGTCTGTTACTTTTTTGCCTGTTACTTCTGTCTGTTACTGTTTGTTGCCTGTTACTTCTGTCTGTTTCTTTTGTCTGTTACTGTTTGTTGCCTTTATGTGAATTTTTTAATCATCTCAAGTACATGTCCTTGTCCCGACCTTTTCCACTATGTGTAGGGGACCCCCCACTCTCCCCCCCCCCCCCCCCCCCCCCCTCTGGTAGATCACCCCACTACTGTATCTATGATGTACTTCTCTTGGTGGTGCTTTTGGTTGTTTTTGTTTTTTTCATGTTCTCTTTGACTGTATTGGTGTGCTTCTTTAAAACCTCAACACTCAACAAAAAACCCAACTATTTGTTTCTCTTCTGATGTGTGCTAATTCTACGCTGTATGGTGGATGTGCATTTTCTGTTCTGTCCCTCTTTTTTGGGGGAGGGGGGGGTGTCTTTTTTTGGGTCTTATTTAATTCAATTTAATTTTTTTATTTAATTTTTTTTTAAAGGAGACTGACATGGTGTTAAAAATAATGGTCAGCAATGTACTTAGAATACTATCTGCACCTCAAACTGTCTGCATAACCAACAAAAGGCTAATGTTTACAGGAGGGGGGGGGTGTGTGATGTTTTCCCGAATTTCAGTTTTTAGCACTGCCCAAGTGGCAGTGTAATTATATGTTTGTGAGATCGTCTTATAGTGACTCTTTAAAGACCACCTGGCATGTGATAAAGGTATGAGAAACTGTTTTTTTTTTTTTGAGGAAAGAAAACTTGAGACTGAAGTAAGTCTTACCATGAGTTTTGGTAAAGGCAGATGCAGTCAAAATTGTCCAAGGTGGTCACTCATTGTTAAGGAGAAAAGTGGTTGTCTTAGAAAGGTGGATGTCTTGGACAGTGTCGTTATAATACAGAAAAAACACAAGAGGATCGTTCAAAGTGGCTGTTTGTTCAGGTAATTATCCTGGACAGATGGCCAGTAGAGCAGGTTCATTTATATTTAACATGATGTTGCCCTCGAGTGGAGAATGCTAGTGTTCCCTGAAGTGGAGAATTCTAGTGTTCCCTGAAGTGGAGAATGCTAGTGTTCCCTGAAGTGGAGAATGCTAGTGTTCCCTGAAGTGGAGAATGCTAGTGTTCCCTGAAGTGGAGAATGCTAGTGCTAGAGTAGAACTGAGGAAAAAGCTCATAGAATAGCACAGCTGGTGTTGGCATTGTGCCCTGAGTGAGATACGTGTTTTGCTCTCGTCTGCAGTCAGAAAAACTCGCTTTGGCGAGCCCACCGTGTCAGAGGCTTTCCTGGAGAAAGGTGAACTGTTTTTGCTGAGGCTATACCATCTTGTCTGGACATTATTTCCCCATCCTGCTACAGTCTCCCGTTTGACGTTTGGAACCCCCCTCCCTTCTGCTTAGTCTGTTCTTTTAATCCTGGACTCGTTCTTGACCAAATTTCACAGCTTTCACCTACATGTAAACGTAACCAACTTTTTGACCAATGCTTCTGTGTACCCACAACGGTATAATAAAGATGCTGACTTACGCCAGGCGAATATATTACTCTTTATCATAAACACAGCAGCGTCCTTGTTCATAGTATCAGTATCTCAAACATAATGATCGTAATAAATAGCTTTTGTACAGGGCAAACTCCTGCTCGACAGCAAGCTCGATGCGTCTGACAATCTATAACATTAACACACATGCGCAGTGAGATGCAGACAGAATAAACAAGTACATGTATTGTTGTTGTTGAAGTGAATAATCCTTTTTGGAGCCATTTTAGCCTTATTTTATTGTTAGATTCAAAGTGAGTGAAAAGACACTGGAACAGCATATTTTTTAAGAAGAGAAGCTCTGTGTGTCTGCCAAATTTGTGACTTGAGCTGGTGCAAGACTTTTAGACTTGGCGACAGTATTGAACCTAAGTCTTTCTTTTTTTTTACCTCAGTCCTTTGGGATGTAAGATTTTTTACCTCAGTTTTTTGGGGGGTGGGGGGGGGGTGGGATGCTGTCTGGCTTTGTTCGTTACGTTGTCGTCGTTGAAAGGAGGAAGGCCTGGTGTTGTGAGTTGTTGTAGGTGTTTAGTTAGTGTTTAAAAGAAGTCATGTTGCATCAGACAAGGAGACTGAACAGGAGGACAGAAATACTGAAACCAGAGGCAAGGATTCTGGACCAAAATCGAAGCGCAGTCAAGAAATCGGGAATTTGGTGTGGGGGTAAATGGAAGGAAAGATTAGAATCATAGGATCACATAACATAAACATACAATAGCGAGTAGGTGTAGGGATCACCATGTTTTCCCACAGACCCCCAGTTTACTCCTCTTTCAACTCGCATATTCTTTCTAGATGCACAGAATTTGCATGGATTTACACACTGTTCGTGTTTCGTCATGTTGAGATATAATTTGATTTACTGTATAGGTTGTTCCCCAATTTGTCCTTGAATTTTGCACAGATGTTGTCTTTTGTAATCTGTGAGAGCGTTATACCCCCTTGTGTTTTGTCTCCCTTTGTGTTTAACTCTTTCTGTACAATGATCTGATATAGCACTGCCCTTTGTTAGTATCACATGACCGCGGGCAGATAAACATTGGCACACAGAGAAAGTTAAGCAATTTGCTATGCGCTGTTTGTTGAAGAGAAAGATTATAGTTGTAGGCATTGTTTCTTCACAGCAGATGGTGGTGTTTGTGCTGTAACGGTCCATTATTTAAGTCTTGTGATGATTAATACATATTATTATGTGGCTGATTAGGTCAATAAGTTTCTGATTCAGAGAATGCTGTTTTGTAAATCAGTAGGGCTAGTAAAACGATTGAAGAAGAAGATGTGAAGAATAATGGCAGGAACAGCCATCAGCGAGTCGTGACCCTTGGCGGTTTATTATATCGTAGGAAGAAGGGAATGTCGGTGTCAGTAGAGGGTTACAAAAGAGTATGTTATATGATGTGATTTGGGCCAGTGGCCTTAAACACTGAATAAACTTACTTACTAATTACTTACAATAGAGTAAATTGTGAGTTGTGAGGATATACAAAACCTGTGTTTAAATGTGAAAACGTGTGTTTGTTCTGCTATCGCTCGCCTCCCCCCTCACTCCTCCCCCTCTCCCTCCTTTCTGCAGACGAGCCTCTCTGTCAACCCCTGGTTCCATATGGACCATGTAGCTGGGAAGTGGGTGTCACTTTTGAATTATTCTTTCTCTCTCTGTAACCACTTTGTTGCCAGACTATCATACAGTCCTACTCGTCTGGCAAAGGCTGTTTGACACCGCGGTGCTTGCAATGTAGGCGATAAGCTCTTGGTTGCTGCGCATTGAAGATTTAGATTTAATAATAATAATAATTGTGATAATAATAATAATGATGATGCAGATAATTGCTGTTGTACCTACTCACGTACAAATCTGGTCTGCACTACCCTTATGTCAGCATAAAACAAGGGAATAAACCTGCTTACATACGCTCTTTAGATTAACACTAACACATAGCCAAACATTAATGCTATCACAGCACAGTGGGTAGCACTATGTACGTCATATTATGTGCATATGAGCTCTATGAATATGCAGGACTAACTATCAAAATGGTATTTCACAAGGTATGTTTGTAAATGATTTCAAAATTTTACCTCATCATACTTT